AAAACCGCCCGTGCCCGCCCGGCACCTGCTTGGCCGAAGTGGGGGCAAGGGGAGCCTGCACGACTGTTTATTTCCCTTCTCGGACAGGGATCCAGAGAGAGGGAACCAGAGGTGAGGGCAGGGGACAAGACCTTGAAAGGGGCAGCTTTGAGAGATAACTTAGTTAGGCTCCATCCATTTGCGCTAAATGCCCGCCTTCCTGCTCTGGGTCAGGATGCTGAGGCTCCAAGCCGGGAATTTAATCAGCGTCGGAATCAGCAACATTGTGCCAGGAGCCTGGGCCCGGGCATGGAGCCAGTCCATGCCTCCCAGCCATGGGGAGGAGCCTAAGCTAGACACTGGGGTCCACTGTCCCCCCCCCCCCCCACATCCTGTGCATAAAGGACAAAGGATAATAACCACCACCACCATTTACTAAGTCCCTCTGAGTACCTGTCATCTGTCGGTACCTTTAGCCTCTGCAGTACCTCAATCCTTACCCAGTTCCACACGATGGATGTATTGCTACCCCCATGCTGTGGAGGGGAAATGACCCAGCCAGAGATCCTACCCAAGGTCACACGGCTCATGCAAGTGGCAGAGTCGGGATCCAAAACCTGGTTTGCCTGACTCTTTGCTCTGCACCACCGGCTGTCAGTGACCTCCTTCTGGGGACACAGGCGCCTCCCAGATGCTGGGTTTGGTGATGGCCGTGGCCGTTCCAACACTCCCATCCTCTTGTCCAGCCAGCTTCATCTCCATGTTGGCTGGTGGCTCCAGGAGGCAGCCACGGCACCAGCATCTATGCTAGTGGCCAGAGGGCTGTGAGTAGAGCCCATTTTGTGATGCTGCAGTCAGTTCCCTGCGTTGGGGATGGTCTACGTTATAGCTGCTGAGGGCTGCCAGGTGGTCCTACACGGGCCAAGGTGGGACCCACAGATTTTAGAGCTCCTGTATTTCCAGGCGCCCAGATCCCAACCTCCTGCTTCTTTTATACACGAGGAAGCTGAAACCCAGAGGGACGCCCTCCACTGAGTGAGGAGATGGCAGATCGGGAACTAGAGCGTGGCTTTCATCATTTCCTGGATGGTGCCCTGCACTTCGATCAAGTTTTTCTTCCGGGCTTAGCCAGAAAGAAATGGCAAGGGATGTGGGGAAAGGAGAGGGGGGGAAAGGGAAGTTAAGGAGAGAGAGAGATCACCAAGCAATGTATTGCTGACTCCATGCTAAAACACAAGAAAAGTAACTTGTGAATTCCCTTTATCTGCATTTCAGAATTATCCATGCTTTTTTTCCATGCTGAGCCTCCTACTTTGCTGACTGGTCTCAAAAGAAACATTATATGGATAAAGTTAAGAATAAATCTGAGTTTATAGGAATATTAAATAACCGTTCAATTCTACTCTTGCCCATTGATAAGAACCTAATTCTTCACACTAATAAGAACCAAATTCTATGCATAGGCAATAACAACTATGAACTATTTTTCATTGCTATATGTGAGGCACACACAAAAAACAAACTCTATAAAGATTGGGGAGAAAGTGAGCATTCAGTACAGCATGGATTGGGGCAGTATGGCCACATTGTGTTTGAATTTTTAAAAATCTGCTTTCTTAAGTTTTCTGTCCCACAAGAAGCCAAATGAGAAAACAACTACTTAGGAAAAGTTTCGACTGAATAGCAGTTAAATTTTGAGTGAATATTTATACCAAAATCACAGTTACACCTGGCAAAAGCATATTTGAGAGCCATATGTTATCCAACAGAGTCCCAGCGACCTCTTCCACGATTCCAGCTCACTGGGACCAGCTGAGGGTATGAAACTGGGGAGGGGGAAAGAAAAGTGGAATCAGGGCATTTGGAAAAAGTGGCAAGTTCTTAAGAGGAAAAATTGGCAGAATGTTGTAGTTTCATATTCTATGAACTAAAGATCCGGTGCACAACATTTGTGCACTGGCAGGGGGGTCCCTCAGCCCGGCCTGCATCCTCTTGCAGCCCGGGACCCCTCGGGGGATGTCCGCCTGCTGGCTAAAAAAAAAGTGGAATCAGGGCATTTGAAAAAGGTGGCAAGTTCTTAAGAGGAAAAATTGGCAGGATGTTGTAGTTTCATATTCTATGAACTAAAGGCCCGGTGCACAACATTTGTGCACTGGCAGGGGGTCCCTCAGCCCGGCCTGCACCCTCTTACAGCCCGGGACCCCTCAGGGGATGTCCGCCTGCTGGCTTAGACAGACATCCCCCGAGGGGTCCTTAGCACTGCTGCAGGGGCGAGAGAAGCTCCTGCCCCCACCGCTGCGCTCACCAGCCATGAGCCCAGCTTCTGGCTGAGCAGCGCTCCCCGTGTGAGCTCACTGACCACCCGGGAGCAGCTCCTGCATTGAGCATCTGTCCCCTGGTGGTCAGTGCACATCAGAGTGACCAGTCATTCTGCCATTCGGTCAATTTGCATATTTGGCTTTTATTATATAGGATTATTCTGTTCATATTCTTTCTGCAGCATTTTAAGGCTTCCTTGGTTTCTAGCTAACATAAAGAAGGGTATGGCTAGGAGACAAACTCAAAACAACAAAAATACCATTTACTGAACTCTATGCATGCCTTATCTCAGTTAATTCTCATCACCACTGCACTTACCCATGTTTCATGGATAAAGATGCAGAGGAGTGAGGTGAAATAACTTGTCTAAGGTCACGGAGCTAATAGGTAGTACAACTGTGCTCCCCAGGCCAGTCTTACCCACTGTTCTATTTACAGTGGACAATACACTGCAATCTGGTTCCCATGGTAACCCCACTTCAGCCCACTCCCTAACTCCTCTTAAAAGAGAAGTTTTTACTTGATTGGCCAAAGCCCATGACCTTCATTGGGCCACGTTTCATTAATGGGGAAGATTTTTCTATTTAAAGGCACAGTCCATGCTACTGAGCGCGGAAGTGCTTTGTTAACCACAGAGCGCCGTGTAAATGTGAGTGGTTATGATTATGATGCAGGCGCCAAGGATTGGAGCTTGGCCACCTGCCCTGGGTTTTGCTGCCTGTCACAACTCAAGTGAAATTAATCCAGGAGAATTCAGGACCCATGAAGCAGAGGGAGGAAGGGTGGGGAATATCCTCATATTGCTGTTTGTAAGGAAAAGTAATGAGCAAGGAGAGTGGTATGGCCAAGTCCCCAGCACACGGAATAGGTGTCCACCAGCTACAAAGGCTGATGAGGAGCCGAGTGAGTGGGAGGTCATGTGCAAAGAGTTTGAGCACAAAAAAAACCCACCCGCCCCCTCTGGGAAGTGTAAAGAGGGAAAGAATTACTATATGGAAAATTATTGCTTTACAGAAAGGGAGGGGGGGAGCTCCAATTGCAAAATCAAAACAGCCCTGATTAAGACAAAACCGAGACTGAAGAAAGGATGGCTAAGAATAACCTCTGAGCATCTAGAGGCCTGTGGGGTCCAGATGGATACTTCCTCCAGCTGCAGCCTTCTGTAGGCCAGTCCCAGCTTCTCATCAGACCCCTGCTCAACAGATTTAATTTTCCATTGAAAGAAGTTTGTAGCTGTCACTCTTCCTCCACTTCATTAGCTCAGCCTGCTACAGGCCTTTAGGGAGTCCTTCTGAAATCCTGCAGGGGGCCGGCGGGCGTGGCTTAGTGGTTGAGTGTCGACCTGTGAATCAGGAGGTCATGGTTTGAGTCCCGTCCGGTCAGGGCACATGCCCGGGTTGCAGGCTTGATCCCCAGTAGGGGGCGTGTAGGAGGCAGCCAATCAATGATTCTCTCTCATCATTGATGTTTCTCTCTCCCTCTCCTTTCCTCTCGGAAATCAATTACAAAAATAGATAAAATGAAATGAAATCCTGCAGGG